GTTATGTGAGTAGAAAATATACTATTATCCACGAACCCATATAATTATTTGAAAGCGTCGTTCTGAAAATTGTGCTTCAGGCGGTCGGTCTATCTCTCGAGTCTCGATCCAAATCAATGTGTTACAAGGGTGTTATGCCATGGACAATAATTATTATTGACAGTATTTGAATCTGTACGAAACTCAAATCTGACATTTCTGCCATATTGAATTTGTTTATTGTGTTATTGCATTTGAAAGTGTTGATTAAGTGAGTTTGGAATATGAGGAAGTGTATGAGATCATTTGAATTCGAAAAGAAAATTGTTACATTTCTTTAGTAGTGATGGAGACACTGATTAGGTACTCAGATAGCACAGGAAACATACTGAAGCCAATTTTTTTCCCATGGGAGAAAATTTAAAGGTTTGCGTCCATAAATGAGGGTTGGCTGTTCGGTGTAATGCCATGGACAATAATTATTAACAGTATTTGAATCTGTACGAAACTCAAATCTGACACTTCTGTCATGTCATATTGAATTTGTTTATTGTGTTATTGCATTTGAAAGTGTTGATTAAGTGAGTTTGGAATATGAGGAAGTGTATAAGATCGTTTGAATTCGAAAAGGAAATTGTTACATTTTATAGTAGTGATGGAGACACTGATCAGGTACTTAGATAGCACAGGAAGCATGCTGAAACCATTTTTTCCCTACCATGGGAGTAAATTTAAAGGTTTGCGTCCATAAATGATGTAGGAGACGAAGTCTAAAGTAAGATACGATAGTAATTAGGATAATCTTTCGAAATTGAAGAACCAGCAAATACGGATATCTTCAAATCATTTTTGCAGAACGATCATAATAGGTACTAAAATAATATAAGAAATTGACTTGAACAAACCGAACATACCAGCTTTACCAGTTGTTTTAAGGAATGAAAACGAATCTAGAAATCGATGAAGCAACAAAAATATAAATATTATCAATAGCAACGTTAGCGAAAATGCTCAAAACAGTTACAATGTTTTTTTATATCCAGAGACACGGCAGGGTCTTACAGCAAGTACTCGTATAAATAGATACATCTCCAGAGAGACGGGTGATTTTGACCCACTTCAAAACGTCTAATTAAATTGAAACTTCGCATACTTATCACGGAACGATGACAATAGGATAATTTAATAGTTTTGTTCCATTATCCTGATCAGGATCTTCAGGATGCTTATTTTTTCTGCAATAAAATGGTGATGTTCCGCCACCAAAATTCCAAAATGTTGATTCACCAAAATTTTCAATGTTCGTTTTTACTTGGAATAACTTCACAATGTTATTTTTATATCCAGAGACACGACAGGGTCTTACACCAAGTTCTCGTATGAATAGTTACATCCAGAGAAACAGGTGAATTTGGCCCACTTCAAAACGTCTAACTAAATTGAAACTTCGCATACTCATCACGGACCGATGACGATGGCATAATTTAATAGTTTTGTTCCATTATCCTATCTTCAGGAGGTTTCATTTTTACACCCAGAAATAAAGTAGTGTCTTGCACCAAGTACTCCTATGAAATAATGATTCCGGAGAGGGAGTCTGATTAATGGTTAAATAATCCAAGGAAGGCAACAGGCGCGCAAATTCCACACTTTCAGTGTGGGCGGCAAAAACAAAGAAGTACAAAATAACATAAAAGTATGTTGATGATGAATACCCCCCCCTTTAAGCCAGTAGAACCACTCTAGATTCTCAATATTTTTCTTCGGCCATAATTTGAGGCTAATTTATTACACTATTGCTGAAGTTATTGCTCTTTGATTTATGCAAAAAGACATGGGTTCTGCTAGGTTAACGTTTAGTTAGCAGAACCACCTGGTGAATAACAGTTCAACCACAAAATTAAGTATATCATAACTCAAGGCTGATTTGAGTCTCTAATCCTAGCCTATTGTGATTTTTTTATAACATTGTTTTTTAAATAATCATGGGTTTTGATAGCTTAACCCTTAAGCTAGCCGAACCAAATCTCAAAAAGAAGGAAAATAAGAATATTGAGTACACCATAATTGAAGGCTCTTCATTGAACCTAATATAGAATGTTTTGTTAATTAATTTCTGGGAAAAATTTTCCAAATCTTGGCATTGGCTGAAGGACTCAGGTCGATGGCCAGTTGATTGTATTGTACATATGATCAATAAAGCACTTTATTATTATTATTTTCCAAATCCAAAATGAACTTCTTTGGTTTGCTATTGGTTTGTCATGTTCATGTTGGATTTGGGAATATTTTTGCAAAACATGATAAACAAAAAAATCGATAATAGGTTCAATGAAAAGGCTTAAATTAGCCTTGAATTACAGGGTACTCAATATTCTTCTATTAGAGATTCGGTTTTGCTAGCTTAATGGTTGAGCAAGAAAAATCCATGATTTTTTTAAACAATTTGCAAAATAAATTGGTAATAGGCTAGGATAAGAATTAAGAACCTTCTGGAGAGCCTCAAATTAGTCCTAAATTATGTGATAATTCAAAGAAAAAAACAAAACACAAAGTCGGTGGACCACAAAGTTGACTTAATTTGTGGTGGACTGACTTTGTGTTTTGTTTTTTTCTTTGAAAAAATCTGGACCACTGTGAGAAGGATGGATGGTTTCCATGACTTGTGATAATTATTTTCGTGATTGAACTTTTTTTGATTGTCATTGTATTGTCATGCTCATATTGGATATGGGAAAATTTTTTCAGAAAATGATAAACAAAATAATCTATAATTGGTTCAATGAAGAGCCTCGAATTAGTGTTAAATTATGGTGTACTCAATATTCTTATATTCCTTCTATTTGAGATTTGGTTATGCTAGCTTGATGGTTAAGCTAGCAAAAACCATAATTTTTTTGAAAAAAGAGTGCAAAAAAATCCACATTAGGCTAGGATTAGAGCTTTAAATTATGGTATAATTATTAGTTTTGTGATTGAACTTTTATTTACAAAGTGGTTCTGCTAGCTTAACGCCAAGCTAGCAGAACCCACGTTTTTTTGCATAAATGGAAGAGCAATAAATTCGGCAATAGGGTAATAAATTAGCCCTAAATTATGAAGGAAGAAAAAATTTATAAATCCAAAGTGGTTCTGCTAGCTTAATGGAGGTGATAATATATGTATAATATAATAATTTGATGGAGTTGTTACTCTTGTAGAAATCTTATTTTCAATTTGAAGGCATTTGACCTTAAATCCCAGAAAAAAATTCAGATTATTCTATAATAGAGAGGAGCAAAAAATTATGACCATAATGACCCTAAAATTATCTGGAAGATTATGTGAAGATTCTCATGTTGAAGTTCCTTAGTGACTAACTTCTTTATGAAGTTTATGATCACTTTGAAAAAATATTCAAAGAATATTTTTTTGAAATTTATTCGATAACAACAGATAACAAGACCCATAATGAGTAATAAACATTTGTACAAATTATATGCGTGACTTTCATGTCAACAAACTTGTATAATATTATTAATTATACTTATTGAATAATAATTTTTGTAACTTAAATAACTAATTTACAGAATTTAAAGAACTGCATTCTGGAATACCAACAAACCCAATCCCTTGTTGTCTTTTCAAACATAGAGCAAGTGCATTCAAGAAAGTAGTAGGCATTTTCAGTGGGAAACTGTTTCTTACAAATTAGTACCAGCTCAGATTTGCATTGATTGGTTCATGCAAATGGCCTTGAATATTAGCCAATGTAAATGGATTCCCTTAATATCACTGTGATCAACAGTTGATACTTGAAAAACACTCAGTATGTACATACCTATTCAACCATATTTCATGGTCTTTGGTTTTATCCAGGGTTTTATACTCAATTTCTGGTTAATTTTTTCTAGATAAAACCAAAAACTGTGAAAGATTGATTGACCCAGTCATCAAACAACAAAGGGCATTTCACCAATGTGGATTGTGCACATGAATTCCCATTAATATCCAGATCAAATTCTTACTATTTCTCTTAGACCATAACAATTCTCTTCAAATTCACACTATTCCCCTATAAATTCCTATCTGAAATTCCCCTCATTAAACTCCTCATGAGACTACTGGACTGGGTAAGTAGGTACAAAATAATTTTGCTAAATTGAATATTATCACATGTTTGATCTATAGATTTCTATAGATATCAATATATTCTTCAAGTACCTATCTAACACTGAGAAATATAGATCAGTCACTGAATCTCCTTTAGGCTCGCCTCCAGGACTGAGTTCAGGACTGTCTTCAGAATTTCAGCAATAAAAACATGAATATCCCCTCCATTTCATTCTCCCTATTTGAATTCTTTAGAAAGTTATTTGTTATCTGATTTGATCAGATCATACAGTGAATTTTCTGTTGTTTTTTTTTTCAAGGTTTTCATTAAGATTATCATTACTCATTGACTTGCCAGCTTCCAGGCCAGCTTGCCTGAGGAATGCTGGAGGAAGATTAAAGAAAAATGCTTATTGGTAATTAGTTTGACAGATTTCACAGCAACTTGGAATATCAAAATATGCTCATTTCAAATGTCCAAAAACACTAGCTATGTGTAAAATAGCTATGGTGTGAACAATTAAAAGAAAACTAGAGCCTCTCAATTGATTAATGCTTCCATTGATGCTTATTATTATGAAAGAATTCAACAATGAAAGAGGTCATCTGAACTTGCTATTTACGGTACATTAGTGAAAGATACTAGGTGAAACTTATTATTGAAGTTATCAAGGTGATATAGGTACACCGGCAACATAGTAAACATTCACATCGAAACCTGACCAGCATATCATCATGTATCATATGAAAATTATTATCGAATGAAGCAATCGTTCGCTAAACAACCAACAACACAGTAGCGGCTTGACTTGATTTATGCTATTTCACCTTTGGACACTTTGCACACAAGTTTTTCATTTGGCCTGCCAAGAGAATGTTGATTATTTGATTCAGATATGTATAATTTTGAACCAGAATTAAATTCTTACCTTGGTAGAAACAAAGGGAAGCACACGGAGCCACGCTGCTAGTTTTCCAGTCCAACAAGCTTCCTTATCCAAAAACACATAAACACTTCCACTTTTGAGCAGTCATATAGTCACGACACCAATATGGGAAACTAATTAATCACGCTCGTTCAATTTCTTTGGGTATTACAAACACTTAGAAAATATTCGTATTTAATGAAATGAAAATGCTAGGACAGCTAGGATCTCCGCACCCCCACCTCACCAGATCAAAATGGCGGCGCCATCATGGAATGAATTTTGCTCGAATGGCCGCTGGCGCGCTGGCAGCAGCGCTTGCCGCTTCGTGTTGTTCAGAACCATATTGGCTCGTGATTGGTTCTAATTACGGCGCCAGTTCTAAAGCTAAATTCACATCCATGAGTACTGAAGTTGAAAATGTTTCATTCAACCTCGTTTCAGGCATTATTATGTCTCAAGTAAAATAGGCAGAAGTTTTTGGTGTTGATTTGTTGAAATCTCAAATAATGTGAACTCGTACATCAACCTTGTAGAGGAATTCTCATTGACTACTCGTCTGGTCTTATCTTATCCTAATAGTCGCAAATGGCAAATGTAAATTCACCTTAACATCGGTAGATCCCCAATTTCAAAAATAAGCAGGAGCGCATCTAGGATTTAGTTCTAAGGGAAAGGGATATGTTTATTATGCAGCAAAAATTCGAGGTAGTTTCACAAAATGAATGCGATAAAAAAATCTGATTTTGTGGATAAGGACAATGAAGCAGCAATCATAAGTTCGATAAGAAGTGTGCAACGTGTGGAGTAGAGTATAATTAGGGATATTTCATTCACATTCCCCGTTAAACCCGGTTGGAGTATTTAAGTTAAGGTGGTGGGAGACAGCTACGTCATAATGACGTCAACATCCACTATTTTCGAATTCCTATTTCTTTCACTTCACCCACTTCCACAGTTTACCCGTGTATTTCTCACTTCAACATACACTGCATTCATTTTCAATTCGAATGTTTTCCATCATTTCATCCATTTTTCACATTCATAATAATTTGTAAACAAATATTCAAGTTTACCTTTAACCATCTTTACCAACTATGAAGTTGGTGATCTCAAGGGCAGGTAGGGAAGGTGTGGAAGGTGTACCCAAACGGAAATTACTTCAAGGTTAAACACAATGAAATGGGATTATCAGCTTTAACCATGACGGGTAACGTGAATGAAATCCCTATTATGTATATAAATACAATTTGTTTATTCACCAATGGAACAGCCTCTCTGTTTTCCGTACAAGATTTCGTTTGCAAATGGTAACAGATTTGAATCAGAAGGCAATTGATCATTCTAGAACACGTGATTTTGACATGATTTCTTGAGGGACACACAAACTATCTGTTAGAGGTTACCTCTGATGAGCATAGCCCCTACAATATGATAACAGTTTCACCAAACACAATTATGGAATTCTTTCTGGTTCCAACTCGGATTTCAAGGAAAACGATCCTACTCATTCTGTTTTTATATGACATATCTTGATAAAATACAATGTGTTGCAGATCGCTCACTTGGTATATTTTCATAATTTATTCAGAAAGATACCTCTTCTTGTGTGTTGTCATAACTATGATATTTTTTGACTTGTTTCAATAATCAATAAAACATTATGTCAGAATAATGTCTATCTTTGTAATGAAAACCTTTATGAAGAATAAAGATATTTGCTGAACTCCGCAGCTGGTCCTTCTCTATCGTTCAAAGACATTTGGTCCCATCGAAGCCGGATCGTAACCGTTAGTCTTTGCGACCTGGATATTGGTAATAAGTCATCACGCTGAGAAATTGAAGCAAGTAGGAGAAGATACGAAGCTTTTTTCTACTTACAAGCCCTTTTGAAAATAATATCACTCTAATAAGATCAACAAGATCTTCCGTCTCAAGTAAGCCCTTCGATAGAATAAATCTACCTCACCCGCTAGAATTTACGCCCTGAGCACGCTAAACGCAGAAGCATTTTTTGGAATATGAAGCAGTAACGGCACGTAACGGCAAGTTTTGTTGTGTTTATACCTTCATTCTGCAGATATCAAGCAATCCAGAAGCAGAATTGGAGTTGGAATTCCTCATAATTCATATAATATAATACCCTTGCACTAAATCAGTAGATCTAACGTGTGTATGTAATATTCATTTGATTTCACTCACTGAGCCACTTATTTTTTCATAACAGTAGAATGGATTTAGAATCGATGATCAAACGTAGATCTAATTTAAAAGGATGTTTAACTCGTACTGAAAATTTTATAATTGCTAACGAATATAGCACTGGTTTTGATATTAATGAGTGGTCAGTTAGAGAAAAGTATATAACTCAAACTTTTGACAGCTATTGTGAAATTCAGGATCGTATTGAAAATCAGGATGACACACAAGAACAGGATCGTATTGAGACTGAACCACGTTTTCTGAAAACACTCTCAAAGTTGAAAGGCCTGATAAATCAGTCTCATCCACTTAGTTCTCAATCGTCTGGATGTCGAGTGAATAGTCTGCAAACTCCTACATCTTCCAATACTGCGATCTCAAGTTCTCTGGTAAGATTACCCCAATTGAATATTCCCACCTTCACAGGCAATTATGAGGATTGGCATTGTTTCATAGATTTATTTAACGCCCTCATTCATAAAAATGAAAATTTGGACAATGTTCAAAAATTTTTATACTTGAAAGCTTCTCTAAAAGGTGAATCCCTTACTCTAATCAGTGAATTGAAGTTGACTAATGAAAATTATGACATTGCTCTTGACCTATTAACGAGTAGATATGATAATAAGCAAGTGATCATTAATTCACATATAAAGGCTCTTATTGATGCGAACCCTATTAAAACAACTGATTATGTGCTCCTTAGAGAATTCATAACATTGGTGAAGCAACATGTCAATGCTCTCAAAGTTTTGCAGGTTCCAGTTGATCATTGGGATTATATTCTCGTGCATATATTATATAGAAAATTAGATTTTCAAACACAACGAGCATATGAATTAGAAAAAGATCAGAATAAAGCTCCTGAATTAAAGACATTCTTGGATTTCTTAGGTGGCAGATGCCTGGCTCTGGAATCATTTTCATCAAATAATACTAATAATAATGATAATGGTCTAAATATGATCCCCAGAGCAAATTCTCAATTTTCTAGAACATCATTCCCTCGTTCAACTCGGTCTCAAAATATAACATTACATTGTCTTTACTGCAAACTATCATCCCATAGCATTTATAAATGTTACAAATTCTCTAGTCTATCTGTAACCCAGAAAAGAGATTTTGTGTTGAAAAATAAGTTGTGTTTGAATTGTCTTGGAGATAAACATGTGGTATCACACTGTACATCTTCTAGGAATGGGTGTAGATTATGTCTGGAGAGACATCATACTTTATTGTGTGACAAAAAATCGAGTCTTCCTGAGACTTCTCAAACTGAATTATCTAATTCACATGCCTTGCTATCTCATCAGATTCAGGAAAGCAATCCTCGTTATTCTCCTTCAATATCTGGTAATATAGTCGAGGATGATAATGTTTGTTTGTTAGCTGGTCTGAAAGAAACTAAAATATTATTGGCTACAGCTAAGGTGTATATCTTGAACAATTTTGGAATCCAAATTGAAGCCAGAGTTTTATTAGACTCAGCCTCTCAGAATTCATTCATAACAAGAGAGTTTTTTGACAAATTGAATCTTCAACCTTATGAAATGCAAATGCAAGTGTCTGGAATAGCAAATGATACTACTAGAATTGATTATAATTATGGTAGATGTGACACTAGTGTCTCAAATAAATGAAACTTATAGAGTTTGTATTTCTTGTGGTATAATGGATAAAATAACATGTAATCTACCACAAATCCTTATTGATAAAAGTATGATTAAAATTCCTCCGTCCATACAGTTAGCGGATGCTGAATTCCATTCACCAGCGCAAATTGATTTGATTTTGGGCGCTGATATATATTATGAATTACTCGAATCAGGAATTATAAAAATTGGTTCCGGATTACCAATTCTACAACATACAAAATTGGGTTGGGTTGTAGGTGGTCCAATTAAAAATCAGGTTAATGAAACGAAACCAAAACGTTGCATCACTTTGTTCTCTCAGGATTCTGATGTGAATAATCTCATCCCAAAATGTTGGCAATTAGAAGAATTGCATACCAAAAAAGTTTTATCACCTGAAGATAAAACTGTGTGAGAAGATTTTCATATCCACTACTAAACGTCTGGAGAATGGTAGATTCCAAGTGAATTTGCCTACTAAAAATGATGAGGACTTCTCATTACTAGGTGATTCATTGAATTTGGCTAGGAAGAGATTTTTTTGGCTGGAAAATCGATTGCATAAAAATAAAAATTTATTCACTCAGTATAAAGCTTTCATTGATGAATATTTTAATCTAGGTCATGCTAGATATGTGAATTCTCATGAAAATGCTAGTTTAGTTAATTCGAAGAGATATTTCATTCCTCATCATTGCATAATTAGAGAACAGAGTACAACAACGAAACTCAGGGTCGTTTTTGATGCTTCGATGAAAACTGGATCAGGTTACTCCCTAAATGACCTTATGTTGAAAGGAAGTTCTATCCAGCCAGAGCTTTTCGACATATTATGCCGATTTAGAATGTTCAAATATGTTTTAACGACAGATATAGAAAAAATGTATAGACAAATTTTAATAAACCCACGTCAAGTGCATCTTCAGAATATTCTTTGGAGAGAAACCATTGAAGAGGACATCAACCCAGCAAACACAAATACATATCTGATACATAACAACCACATATTTCTGTCCTCATCCGATGTTGCAGACATATTATTTGTACAGTTAATGTATCCTGCATGTAACGTCAAATTTCCGCCTCCCAGAATATGTCCTTTATATCTCTGACATATGTTGAGCGTTTTTGAAGTAACATTGCATACAAGTATCAGATACATTATAAGTAACGAATTTGTTCTTATAATGCTACTTGAATGAATGTTACAGGGTAATATATGTGAGATGAATCCAAAATAATGTACTTGTTTATTTCGAGAAATATACAGGAAATTGAGTGTCGGCAGCCATATTGATAACTTTGTTATTGATGAAGATACAAAATTTTTCAGATCAACAAACTATCAGTACATAGGTATTTCTGACTATAGAAGAAAATTTCTCATTATGTGTTACAAAAAACGCGATACTCAAATTTTTATTCTTTCATCAT